GTGTCACAAGGAGGAGGGAGAAAAATTATTCTCCTTAATGTCTGATAATGAGGCAAGAAGCAATGGGCTTAAATTGCGGGAAGGTAGTGCCACGGGGCAGGTGAGTCCAAGAGTGTCACAAGGAGGAGGGAGAAAAATTATTCTCCTTAATGTCTGATAATGAGGCAAGAAGCAATGGGCTTAAATTGCAGGAAGGTAGTGCCACGGGGCAGGTGAGTCCGGTGCCTTAGGCAGGGTCTTACGCCCCAAGAGTGTCCCAAACTCTAAGGGCAAGGCCCAGTCACTATAACCCCTGCTCCCCCACAAGTCTGGCCTTGCGGCCACAGTCAATACAACATCCCTTCTCTCGGAGAAGCGAGGCCCAGTGGCCTGGGTCCCTCTCAGCCCCTTCCCTCAGGGCAGTGGGGCCTAGTAGCCTGGATCAGTCATCACACCTTTCCCTTACGGAAGTGAGGCCTAATGGTCAGAGCCAGCAGAGGTGCCCGCTATAGCAAGGGCAGTAAGGCCTAGCAGCCAGGGTCCGTATCAATAGCTCCCTGCTCCAGGGCAGTAAGGCCTAGCGGACAGAGTCAGTATCAATCGCTCCCTGTTCTAGGGTAGTAATGCCTAGCGGCCAGCGCCAATAGTCACAGCTGTAGCACTTCCCATGAAGGTTAGGGCCTGGGACCCAGACCCTCCCTCTCCACCAGGTCCCAGCCCAGGGCCCTGTCAGTGGTGGGTTTGTCCCACCATTAGCCCAGCGGGGAATCCCCCCGAAAAACGCTGAGCTTTCAGAGGTTTTTACCTCCCCGTCCTGGTTGCGTCCAGGCTGGAGGCTCCTCCAGCCATCTCTCACTGCCTGGCCCCCGTGGTTCGGTCCTCCCGTAGCTCCACCTGCAGAGCTCCAGCCGCGCCTCCCCCCCCAGCCTTTATACCTGCCCTCCATCTGGAGCATGCCCAGTAGGGCTGTGGGGGCGGGGCCTTCTCAGCCAGGCAGCCCTGGTTCACTCTTTCGTGCCCAGTGTGGGGCTGGTACATCCTTTCACAGGGAGGTTCAGGTTGGACATGAGGAAAAACTTCCTGCCTGTCGGGGGGTTAAACACTGGAATCAATTGCCTAAGGAAGTTGTGGAATCTCCATCCCTGGAGATATCTAAGAGCAGCTTAGATAGACGTCTATCAGGGATGATCCAGCTGGCGCTTGGTCCTGCCGTGAGGGCAGGGGATGGGACATAACGACCTCCCGAGGGCCCTTCCGGTTCTAGGATTCCACGACTCTACCAAGCAGGGAGAGTCGAGTGAATGTTTGCACAGTGGCTACCACCCAGGGTGAGTATCTCTTGTTTTCCACAGCTCAACAAAGAGGTACATAAAAGGAGACCACAACCACATCTCCTTCCCCTCGGACCACTCGCTAGTTAGGTAAGTCAGATACATTGTGACTTGTCACACAGCTGGGGCTTGCAAGCTGCTCCCACACTGCAAAGACCACGCTGGTGAGTTCTAGACCTGACAGCTAAAGAGGCAGGTACATTCCCTTCAGGTGAGTAGCAGCGTTTTAACCTCCACCGAGGACAGAGACGAAGAGCCGTGTTAGCATGGGTTACGCACTGCCTTTGCCGGGGGAAGATTGTCCCAAGCTAAGGGGTCAAACCGTGTTGTGTAGTCAGCGTGTTTCAAAGGACCGGCTCGATTCCAGAGACATTTTCCCCCGAAATGGTTGGAAACGATCCAGAGTTGCAGCGGTCTAGTTTGTTCCGGCTTTTCCCTTTTCTTTAGTCTTTCTATTAATGTTAATATTAGTCCTCCACTATCGAAGCATAAATGTTTCAACGAAGCTTTTGTGGCGCTTCTACCCCGATTTCTTTTTCTTTTTCTTTCTGTTCTTCAGGTTTTCCCACAGTTTCAATTTTTCATCCCCATTTGGGACACAAACAAACAACACAAACCCCTTTTCTGACCAGTTCCCGTGCCGTGCATGAGACTAGGGGTGCGGTACCTAAGGCCCAAGAGCCGGATACAGCCCCTAGTTTGCCTAGATCCGTCCCCTGAGGCTCAGGACTCCCCCCGCAGCCTGCTCCTACACTCTCCCTCCTGCTCAGAACCCACACCCCACACCTGCTTCCTGGCACCCCCCTCCCTCACACTGAACCCCTCATTTTTGTCCCCACCCCAGAGCCTAGGGGGCCTACAAAATCTACCCGCCTGAGCCCCCCCCCGGCATGTGGGGAGTGTCTTTCTCCTTCTCAGGCAGGGGCTGTATCAATGAGTGTTTTTGGGGGGGGGTTGCTTTCCACTTGTGTGTGCGGCCCCCGACTGATTTTTCTGTGGTTCAGTGGTCCCCCAACCCAAAAAAGAGGCTCCCTGCCCCTGATTTAGAGGGCTACACTGATTCTATTCAAAAATCAGCAGCAGAAATTGAACTAGGGACTTGCAGTTCGGAAAGTACAGGCTCCTACCTCCTGAACCCCAAAATTCACTGCCTCGCAGCCCCGTCGACCCATGCATGTGGTCTCACTCTCGGAGCGGGACAAAGTCCTACACTGTGTTTGTGTTCACTAGCCACAATGTACCAAGCACAAGAGATTGATGGAATTAAGTCCGTGCTAGGCCGTGGGAAGGGTGTAGTCACACCGCCCAAACCAGAGTCAGACTCAGGCTGCGTCTGCACTGGGGAGGTTTTGCGACAAACGTGCCAACGTCGCCAAAGGCGAAACCAGTCAAGCCATTTTTTCTGCCTCCCATTGTCGACATTTCGTGGCCACGTGGCTCGCTCCCCTGTCGACAAAGCAAAGCATTGTGGGTAAGCATCCCGCAGGGCAGTGAGGCAGGAAGGCAGAGCGGATCCCTCTGGGATTCTATCGGAGTTCTCCCACAACCTCCGTCACTGAATTCTAACTGTGTTTTGTGTGTTTGTCTTGTAGGTCCAATTAGCCACCAGACCAGGAATTCAGACTTCTGGAAGAGTGGATCTAGTCCCATTTGACAGTCCCCAAATGCTTTTAAAAGAAGGGTTTCTCAATGAAACGGGATAGTACTAAGTGTTCATTGCTTCCAGCCGCTTGTCGTTACGAGGTGCTGTGAAATCCCAAACATCTGTGATGAGTTTTGTCAGCTGTGTCACAACGGATTTGTCTTGTACCTTTGTTCTGTGTTTCTTAGTGCTGTCCGCAGCCTGCTTCTCTGGCACCACAGTTTCTGCACCTTCTCTTAAATGACAATAAATCCACACCGAATGCAGCATTTTGCTTTCTCAAGCCAAGATCTGACTTATTTTTTAAAGAAAATTGCCCTAATAATGTTCCAACATGCACTGGAAGTGAAAACGTGACAAACCTGTGCCCGAGGGCCGCAGATAGTTAAGGTTCTGTGTCACAAACATGCTTAGGTTAATGTTTAGCGTATGTGAGAAAGAGGCCTCAGCGCAAACTCTGTAGCATAGCTGGATTATGGGGGGCTGAGCCAAAATAGGGAGTCCTAGGCACTTTATATAATACAAACAGCAGAAAAACACTGGCAGTTATATTTCAAACTCAGCTTGTTGGTTCAGATGAGACACATCTGCAAGCCCCAAATATGCAATTAAATTAAATAACCCTACATTCCTTTTATAAGACTTCTCGTGCATGACTCCAAAAGCATTTTACTGAAGAGGTAGATGGCGATATCTTTATTGGGAAACTGAGGCACGGAGGCAAACTGAGTTCCCCAAGATAACCCAGCAGCCTAGCCAGGGATAGAACATGGCCTGAGCTCTAGCCACAAAACAAGAGCTGAGTTCTGCACTGAAACCCACCGTGTCAGCGAATTCCCCACGACCTCGATGGGATTTCAGCAAGTTTTTGCCAACTCCTGGCACTAGCTCAAGCCGGGCATCTCATCTCTTCTGACTTTCCTGCGGTTCGTTACGTGTGGCCGAAGGCGGAGCACAGATCTCTGTTCGATTTATGCCAGGGTGGGCAATTACCCGCCCACACGGGCCGCATCTGGTCCACCAGGGTTAGCTGCTGATGGGTCCCCTGCACGGCTGCAAGTACCAGCAATTCCAGCTCCTGTGGGCTATGGATCACCATTCCCAGACAATTGGATCTGTGGGAAGCGTTGTCCCGGTCCGCGCCACTTCCTGCTGCTCCTATTGGCCAGGAACAGTGATCCGCAGCAAATGGGAGCTGTGGGAAGCGTTGTCTCAGTCCGCGCCACTTCCTGCTGCTCCTCTTGGCCGGGAACAGCGATCCGTAGCCAATGGGAGCTGTGGGAAGCGGTGTCCCAGTCCACGCCACTTCCTGCTGCTCCTCTTGGCCGGGAACAGCGATCCGTAGCCAATGGGAGCTGTGGGAAGCGGTGTCCCAGTCCACGCCACTTCCTGCTGCTCCTCTTGGCCGGGAACAGCGATCCGCAGCCAATGGGAGCTGCGATCACCAGTACCTATGGCCGTGTGGGTAAATATAGCAGCGGTGGCCTGCCAGACGAACCACCACTGTATTATTCCCCACCCCTGCTTTATGCATTTCCTAAACCAACTTGGGTACCCTAAGTGGCGGGGGGAGAGGGTAAAGCGACGGTAGATGGGGGCCGCTAATGGACAGCTCTCCCCCCACGACCTGTTGGGAGTCCCAGGTCGGATTGCTCAATCACACCAGCCAGGAGTTTGAGACCTTTGGTTTACCATTGGGTTCCGAGGCTCTCACCTTGATTTACAAATTCTTCCAGTTTTCAGGCTGTTGTGGAGCGAAAACATCATCATGCATGCCCCCAAATCAGAGGTAGCTTCATTAGGTTTTGTAGAAATTCTCCTTGTTTTACAGTGCTTGATCGTCTCATTCCTGAATCTTGAGTTTATTAAAGGCATCTCGCCCCTTTCTGAAACTGTGGAGGGGGAAGAAGTGAATCTAAACCAGAAATAAAATAAATTGTCCCTCCTGAGCCACTCCATAGAATAAAATAGAGGTGAGTTGCAGTTAGAATAATAGCCTATTGCAGCCACCAGTAGACTGGTGGATTCCAACTTCTTTGGGGTCTTTTAATCCATTAGAAGTTGCAAGAATCCACTGTCATTTAGGAAGTCATAAAAGGGTGGTTGTGTTAGTCTGTTTCTGCAAACACAGTGAGGAGTCCAGTGGCACCTTAAAAACTAACAGATTTATTTGGGCATAAGCTTTCCTGGGGAAACGACACTTTGTCGGATACATGAAGTGGTTCTATGCATCTGACGAAGTGGTTTTACCCACGAATGTTTATTCTCAAATAACTCCGTTAGGCCATATCTGCACTCCATGGAAGATCGCTGCTGCCACAATCAGTCTTCCGGAGTTTGATTTAGCAGGTCTAGTCAAGACCCACTAAATCAAACTCAGAGGGCACCCCCGTTACTCCTGCTCTTACAAGGAGTAAGGGAAGCTGACGGACGCGGTCGCTTCTGTGGGGCTCATGCTGTGGTGATAGTGGGGAAACTCGAATCAAGTATGTAATTAATGTAGCTGGAGTTGCATATCTTAATTTGACCTTCCCTTTGAGTGTAGACCTAGCCTTAGTCTTTGAGGTACCACAGGATTGCCCGTTGTCATTTAAAGGTCAGGCATCCAACTTCCTTCTTGCACTGTTGAAAAAACTTTTGCCCATACACTTAAAAAGTTAGACACAGAAGCACAGGACTGGAAAAGACCTTGAGAGATTATTTAGTCCAGTCCCCTACACTCACGGCTGGACCAAACCTCATCTAGACCATCCTTGATAGATGCTTTTCTAACTACTCTGAAAAATCCTCCAATGATCAAGATTCCACAACCTCCCTGGGCAATTTATTCCAGTGCTTAACCACCCCGATAGGAAACGTTTCCTTGTGTCCAACCTCAGCTGACCTTGCTGCAGATTAAGCCCATTGCTTCTTGTCCTAACATCAGAGGTTAAAAAGAATATTTTTTCTCCTTCCTCCTTGTAACAATATGCCACCCTGCCAGGACCAGCTCATTCAAGGTCTTCCTAGAGACGGGGGTGGAAGATCTCACTGCAGCCCATTGTGCAGTAGAGCTGCAAAGTTAAGCATGGATGGGGAAAATATAAATCTGGTTAGAAGAGCTGAGAACGGTGTTGATGGGACTCAGTGGGAAGAGGCTGGCTTAGCTGATGGCATCAGATGATTTCTTGCCCTACAATGACACAACCCAACGTAGAATCACCCACCCGCTTCTTTCACTAACCCTCTCCAGCCCCCTAAGTTAAATGACAAAAAATCTCACTGCCGTGTGCCATAATTAGGGGCAAAACTTTCTCGCCTCTGCTATGACACCTTTACTGTCCTTTTGCGTTTTGGTTTTTTCCCAGTTACATACACTCCCCCTGCAGACACAATACAGCCGCTGCACGCGGCTGTGTCCCGTGCCCAGAAGAACCAGCAAAACAGGTTACATTCACTGTGCATTTTAATTTGGATCTCTGTTAGAACCCCCAGGCCTCGACTCAGGTAGGTGTTTGCCGGGTGTTGTGCCAGCAAGCCAGTCCATGGATTTCTGTGCCTTTCCCTAAGCAGAAGGTTAAAAGGCCTGGGTTTAATGTTAGCTTCCTGTTTAAATATCTTAGACCCAGTGTCTACTCTCCACCATAAAGCACCAATGGGATTCAGGTGCCTCCATTCCTTTTTCAAACGTCACGACTTCGGTGACTACGTTTCAAACTCGATGGATTCCAGGCTCCTGTGTGGCTTTTGAGCATGTTACCGTAAGCTTGTGGTTCTCAACTGGTGGTCCATGGTGACTTTTTCGGTGGTCTACAGGAACATTGTCCAAAGTCACATGGCATGAGCAGGCACCAAAAATCTGTTCGTAAGAAATAGATTTCAAACCAAAATATTCGTTGTCTGTTCTTTTTTATCATGTCTCAAAAAGCAGGTGGTCCATGAAAATTTTGTGATTGGCCTGGTGGTCCGTGGACTGAAACGAGATGAGAACCACCACCCTAAGCAACTTCTAACATGCTTTGTTTAGTTTGAAAAAGAGAAGCCCAAGAGAGGACATGATCACAGCTTTCAAGTACCTAAAAGGGTGTTACAAGGACCAGGGAGAAAAATTGTTAGCCTTGACCTCTGAGGGTAGGACAAGGAGCAACGGGCTTAAATTGCAGCAAGGGAGGTTCAGGTGGGACATTAGGAAACACTCCCTAAGTCTCGGGGTGGTTAAGCACTGGAATAAATTGCCTAGGGAGGTTGTGGAATCTCCATCACTGGCGATATTCAAGAGCAGGTTAGACAGACACCTGTCAGGGATGATCTAGATGGTGCGCGGTCCTGCCATGAGGGCAGGGGACTGGACGTGATGACCTTTCGAGATCCCTTCCAGTTCTAGTGTTCTAGGATTCTACGCTTGGACTCAATGGAGCTATTCACCTGCTTAAAGTTACGCACGAGCTTAAGGACTCATCGGGACAGTGCCCCCAGAATGTACAGTGCCCCCAAAACTGAGTTCCTTAGTGCATTGCTTTTCCTCCTTAAAACAGAGAAACAGCCAAACGCTTCTGTGGTTCCCTTTGGGTATGTCCCCAAGTCCACCTCCGCACAGTTTACTCAATTCCCTTTTTCCCCCATGCCTTGCTTCTTACTCAAACTCTGTCTGGAAAGCCCCCTCTCTCTCCACCAGCACGATTTTTTTCTTTCAAACACATTGAAGGTGGCATACGGGGTCAAACAAAAAAATTTTTATTATTTTTTCCATTATTTCTGATGCGCTACAGATAAATCAAAGACAGCCACCGTTCCGACTGCTGAGGTACCACAATCACCAAGCAACATTTCACAGACATGAACCACAAGACAACATTTTTTTTTTTTTTACAGAACAAACCCAAACAAAGCCCCCAGCCCGGAAATAAAATCAATCCAATCACCCGACGGACTTTTAGCAAATGGTTTAATTGTCAGTAACACAGAGTTCACTTTTGTTTTCCAGTCTT